GCTTTTTGTTTTCTGAAGTTAGAGCTATGTCGACACTGCCGTTTCAGGGCGGGGTCATTTTCAGTACTTTCGTCCCGGATTCAGCTTTTGGCACATATGCCATGTTGACCGCCATGGTCATTTTACCCTAAAACAGTTGAGATTACCTGTGCTAAATGAAACGCATACAAACTTATATACAGGTCCTAGACTAGAAGGGAATCTTCTCCTTCGAATACGCCTTTGGAAGTGGGATATCAACTTTTTTGTCAACGCGCCTTACTACAAGACCATTAACTCTTTGTGTAGGAATTTCCTCTTTCCCGAGCATTGTGAAGAGGTTAAGCTTAACTTCAATTCCTGTGATTCCAAGGTCTTCAAGAACTTTCTCTGCGACGAAGGTTCTATCACTTGCGTCATCAAGCAGGGCATACACCATAATTTCACGGTCTGGATTGTCCTTGTGGTGTAAAAGAACTGGTAGAATCATACAGTTGGTGATATCTTCACAATTCTTTGAAGACTGGGAAACACTAGCACAACTGTTTGCATCTTTACTCTAATCTTTTGAATCCTTTGTCTCTTCCGGTTGCTTCTCCTTTGGCGGGTAATGCAAGGATGTCGGGTGGGGTTTCTTGCATTCCTTGCACGTTAGCTTATGCTTACAATTCTTAGACAAGTGTCCACGACCCAAAGAGCTGTAACATAATCTTAGCGTCTTCACGAGATCCTTTCTTTCATTTATCTCCATTTTCATGAATTTGGGACAGCCGTTAAGATAGTGATCTTCTGAGCAACAAGGGCAGCCTTTCTTTTGTCTATTCTTTATTTCAACATCTTGACTCTTCTCCTTGCCATAGGTCACAAGGCTGTTACCACCAGCTAATGGTTTCTTCACTGGTCTTGTTCTTTCCTCTTTCTTGCTTTCCCTTTTACGCTTTTCCTTAAGTTCACAGGGAGAAAAGGCAGGGTCAGTTGCAAGTTCAGCCTCGTCTCGTACGAACAAAACCAAGTCATGGAATTGAACCAACGCGTTTGTCTTTTTTCTAAGCTCGAAAGCATGACGACACCATTTCATCCCGGAGTAAGATGGAAGCTTCGCGCTAATCTGTTTCAAGGTTTCAGTACAGTTTAGATCATCCATAAACTTCATTGTTTTCATAGCTTCTTCGCAACGTAACAGGAAGTCAGACAGTTCTTGCAGGCCTTTACTATCAACTTCATTTACTGGTGTCCAGGCTTTCAATTTTGATTTATAAGCTTCAGACACGAGATAAGGATCCCCGAAACGCTTTGAGAGGATCTTCTTGGCTTCCTGATAACCATTATCAGAATTTAATGTCACATATCCCTTAATTATTTCATTCACCTTTCCGATAGTGTACTTGTTTAGAAAGTACAGCCTTTCTTTATCACCGGGAACTTTGTTTTCAATGATAGTTTTAAAGCTCGCATGAAGACAGGGTAATCAAAGGAGTTCCCATTGAACGTTTGTGGTTCCTGTACTGGCAAAGATTGCATTCGTTGTTGCTCTGCAATCATAGCACTTAATTCAGT